TGGGGGTGACCAGGCCAGCAGGGGGGCAGTAAAGGGTGACCAGGCCAACGGGGTAGGGGGCAGTTAGGAGCGACCAGGCCGTCAGGGAGTGTGCAGTTGTGGCCAGCAGGGGGGTGCAGTTAGGGGCAATCAGGCAGGCAGGCAGGTGAGCGATTAGGAGCCAGTGGTCCAGGATTGTGAGAGGGATGTCTGACTGCCAGTTTAGGTTCGATCCCTGAGACATCTCCCAAGGGGTCTCGGATTGGAGAGGGTGCAGGCTGTGCTTATGTGACCCCCCCTCCCCATGCACGAATTTCATGCACTGGGCCTCTAGTATATATATATATATTCACATCATTCCCTTGCTTAAATTCCTATAGCAGCTTAAATTCAAAATCCTCACTAGGGTCTATAAAATCCTGCTGCCACTCCACCTAATCTCCTATCTTTCTTCCCATTGCTTATTTTGTTACAGCCACACCAACTTCTTGCTTTTTATTGACCATGTCAAATTCACCCTTACCTCAAGTTTTCTGCATTTGTTATTCTCCCTATCTGGAAAATTCTTCCTCCACATACCTGCATGACTCCTTGCTTTTTGTCTCTGTTCAAATGATGCTTCTATCCTGACCAACCTTTTAAAATAAACACCTTCCATTTACTCTGATACTTTACCATAGCACTTGTCATCTTTTTACATACCGTACAATTTTCTTATTGGTCTTGTTATCTATCTCTCCCAGAGTGTCATCTCCATGAGGGAAGGGATCTTGGCCCATTTTGTTCAGTATCATATCTTCTGCACCTAGTCCAGTGTCTGGTACATAGTAGGTGCTAAATAAATATTTGTTGAATATATAAGGGAAACAATCCCTTTTTCTATGTACTCTGTGGGGTTGATGTGGGAATAAAATATATTAGTCTCTTGTAACAGCTTTGAAAGATGTATAGTCCAACCTTTGTCTTTTTAAGGCTATTTTATTTTCCTAAATGTACTTCATTCCAAATCTGTTCTGAAATTTCCAATTGATAGTCCTGGCTATTTTAACTTCCCTTTTGAGCATGCCTATCTTTTTCATTCAACTCTGAAGTGCTCCCCTAGAAAGCATAGAGTATGATTTACCCAGTTGTGAATATATGGCCATTCCCACCACCAGCCAGAGTATTGTGCCTAGTACAGCAGACACACAGTAAATTATTCATTTTTATTTATTTTCATATTTGGTAATTATTATTTGTTTACATCAACAAAATGTTTTCTATACAATAAATACATGAAGGAGTATATATATCAACCAGTAGGGGAAAAAGACATCTATGATAATTTAAGTGCAAGGGAAGAAATATTCAAAATTTTATTTCATTGTGGTGGAAACTAGAAGTAAGGCAAAAGCTCTTCCATTGCCCAGTTATGTGTCCTTTGGCAGATACTGTCAACATTTCAGTTCTCAACTTACACATTTAAAAAAGGGGGTTAGAGCCCTGGCTGGTTTTGCTCAGTGGATAGAGCATTGGCCTGTGGACTGAAGGGTCCCTGGTTCGGTTCCGGTCAAGGGCACATGCCTAGGTTGTGGGTTTGCTCCCCAGTGGAGGGGGGGGGGGCGCGTGCAGAAGGCAACCGATCAATGATTCTCTCTTATCATTGATGTTTCTATCTCTCTGTCCCTCTCCCTTCCTCTCTGAAATCAATAAAAATATATTTTAAAAAGGGGGGTTAGAGGAGCTCCTCATATTTCTGAAAATTTCTGAAGTTATTTGTGATTTCACAAGCCATTTCTCTTTCTCTCATCCCTCCACCTCTACCTGAGAAACTATTAGACTGTCATCCAGATGAACTTTCTCTAGGATCCTCTTAGCACTGAATCAAATTTTCCCTAAAGTACCAACCAGCCTCCCTGCCAGAGCCAAGCCTGTTTCAATTGCATTACCTGGGGTTGAGTGTCTAAGACGTATGGTCAATTAAATCTGGGTTCTATGAGACTAAAGGTCCTGGTGTTAAGGGCCTTTAGAATACACTTGGCTTAACTTACGTCAGCTGGATTCAGTGTGAGGGCAAAAGCCATGCCCTGGAGGCGGGACCAGTCAAAGACTGGACGCCACCCAGTCTGACTCTCCCACCCAGTGTTAAGGGGATGGATCTCATGATGTCAAAGGCCCACCCAGATGTGATGTAACTTCCTGTAATTCGAGTATATAATAAATCAGCTTTTGGAGCTGGCTCTCTCTCTGCGTGCTATGTCCCTCCAGAGGGCAGGCACCACACCCAGACCAAGCTTTTAATCTATTTTATGTCTTTCATTATTCTTTAATCCCAAAAGCGCTTCCTAGTTTGCATGAACCGGTTCAAGTCTCCCCCTCCATGCGGGACACGGAGAGGAGGCCCCTCAGCCCCAGAGCGCTCGGTATATCCTGGAAAGAAGCTCTTGAAATAAGTATGACCTATTGAAACATGACAGACCAGAACACAAGCAGGCCATTGGTGGCAGATTCTATATGATAGCTAATAATAGATCAGATGCCATTTAGGGTCACTGGGGTAAAGTGATCCTGTATGAGCAGAGTCTGATAATGCACTGCGGTTGACTCCTCAATTATGCTTTACACCCAGAGAAGTTTCTAAGTAGGTGTACAGGTGGGGAAAAGACACCCTCCAAAACCCAAATGTCTGGATCAAATACCTTATTAAAAACTCATATGTATTGTTGGAAGCCCAGGCAGCTAGGAAAGGGCACCCCCTGGAGGGTGAGTACAGGAATCTACAAGACCTAGGATGGAAGGACCGCCCACCCCCCCC